CAAACTCCGCGGGGCAGGCCAGCGGGTGAGGCTTGGCAAGGAGATGGGGGAGGCGCACAATTTCGAATCAAAAACGGCAAGAGCTGGAAAAGCCACGGCAGGTAATGTGAGCCAGAGGGGCCACGGCTGGAAAGGCCACGGCAAAGAGCGGAAATGGGGGGTTGCACCCTCGACACCAAATCCACTCGCAGCGGGGCGGCGGGCCCGACCTCGGTTCCGCTGAGAACGGGTCCCTGAGCAAGACTACGCTGAATTGGGGTGTTCGGTGGGATGGCGCGGACCGTCCTCCTCCTCTTCGGTCTCCTTGCGGGACCGGCGGTGGCAATCATTGGGAGTATGGTGTAGGGCCGCATTGGGGTCCTCGTGGAGGTGGCTAGGGTGCCTCAAAGCAGGCTGCAAAGCCCGCAGGACAGTCAGGGTGGGCAATTGGGAGATGTTGTCACGGTGGTGCGGCGGCGAAATGAGATAGGAGAGGCATCAGGTGACGAAACAAGAACGGGAGGAGCTGGGTTGGACAGGGCAAGGAAAAAGGGATGTCGAAGGAGGCCTCGCGGGGGCTTCTAGGGGACCGTTGCTTGGCCTCGTGGGGCCGGTTTTGGAACCTTCTGGGGCGTCGTGGGGACCTTTTGTGGTCCTCTGGGAGCCCCACGGCAGCACCTGGGAGCCTTCTCGGGGCTTCCTGGGAGCCTCTTTGGGCGAAAGGCTCGAAATGTCAGTTCATGGCCCCCCTGTGGAGATCATCCGGGGGCCTTCTTCAAGGCCTCGGAGGCCGTCTCGGGCGCCCCTGGTGTCGTGCAGGAGCTCTGTTAGGCCGTTCTGGGTCATCCCGGGCACCTCCGGACTCGCCCTGAAACTGTGTTGGAGGCCTCTCGGGGCCGTCGTGGGTTGTAGGAAGCTTGAAGAGTGGGGGGCCCAAAGACATTGAAAACCCCCAATTCGCGAAGTCACTGTTCCTTGTTTCTCGGGGCACTCGGCTGGGGCCCCGGGCGCCATCTGGAGCCGGCCCGGGGCCGTCCTGGCGCCTTCTTCAGGCCTCGGGGGACCTTCAGGCGGCGGAGAACTCGAAATTTCGGTTCATGCCCTTCCTCTGGAGCCCAACTCGGGGCCGTCTTGAGAGCCTCGTGGGCCGTCTTGGGCGCCCCTGGAGGCGTCATGGAACCCTGCTAGGCCGTCCCGGGGCCTTCTTGGGGGCCTCCAGGCCCGCCCTGAGGCGGTGTCGGAGGCCTTGTGGGCCGTCGTGGAGTGTCAGGATGTCGAGGAAGAGAGAGCACCGAAAACATGGTAGAACCCAAGCGAAAGCAATAATCGACGTTTCTCGGGGCCTCTGGAGCCTGCCAGGGCCGCCCTGGCGCCTTCTGGAGGCCTCTGGGAGCTTCATGAGGCGAAAGACTGGAAATTTCGCTTCACGACGCCCCTTCTGAAGGCCATCTTGTGACCGTCTTGAGGGCCTCGTGGGCCGTCATGAAGGGCGCCCCTGGCGGGCGTCATGGAGCCCTGCTAGGCCGTCCCGGGGCCTTCCTGGTGGCCGCTGGGCGCCTCCTGAGGCGGTGTCAGAGGCCTCGTGGGCCGTCCCGGAAGTGTCAGAGTGTCGACAAAGAGAGGGCACCGAAAACAGTGAAAATGACTGTTGCCTCCAGGGACACTCCGTCTGGGACCTCGAGCGCCCACTGAAGCTGGCACGGGGGCCGTCCTGGCGCAGCCTGGACTGGAAGCCTTCTGAGGCCGTTCAGGAGGAGGGAGGATAAGGAGGAGGACGAGGAGAAGGAGGAGGAGGAGGAGGAGAAGAAGGAGGAGGAGGGAGGAGGAGGAGGAGGAGGAGGAGGGAGGAGGAGGAGGAGGAGGAGGAGGAGGAAGAGGTGGAGCGTGGCGGAAGATAGGAGGAGGAGGAGGAGGAGGAGGAGGAGGAGGAGGAGGAGGAGGGGGAGGAGGGGGAGGAGGAGGGGGAGAAGGAGGAGGAGGAGGAGGAGCATGCAGCGGCAAGGGGTGTGCAGCGTAGCTCTCCGCGGCAGGGAATCCTACCTGATCTGAAGGCAACAGCCGCAAGGCCCAGCCGCACACGCCACCCTGCCGCGAAGCACGGGTTGACCTACAGGGCCTCGTGCCTCTCACCTGGCGCGCCTACCTGAATGCGTAGGCACAAGGCGCAACTCGTTCTAAACCTGCGGCATGGATCTCAGCAGGATGGCGAGCAACTGAGCAATAAAAAAATGGCTCCAAAGGCGCTCCACGCAGGGTTCCCGACGGCCCAGAACACCCCCCAGACGCTCCAAGAGGGTTCCACGACGCCGCCCAAAAAAAAACCTGATGGCACAAAACTCCGCCGACCCTGTCGGCGTGTGCGAGGGGCTTGGCTGTTCGAGTCGTCGTCTCCGTCGGTCGTCGCCTCCGTCGTCCCCTTTCCCTGCAGCTTCCTTCTCAAGCTCGTGAGAGAGAGAGAAAAATCGGGCAGTGTCGTAATCCAGTCGAAGGGAAGCCCCGTGGAGGGGGGGGTCCCGGGGGGGTCCCGGGGGGGTCCCGGGGGGGTCCCGGGGGGGGATCCCGGGGGGGGGTCCCGGGGGTGGTCCCAGGGGAGGTCCTGGGGGGGGTGGTCCCGGGGGGGTCCCGGGGGGGGGTCCTGGGGGGGGTGGGGGGGCAGATTCGTTTTTCCTCGGGCGGCCTGGAAACCTCGAAAACACTCCAAATGAGGTCCGAATGCCCCAGATGGCCCCCGAGACGGCCCAAGAGGGCCCCGAGTCCCCCAAAGATCGGCCGAAAACGCCCAAGATAGCCCCAAGACCGTCCAAGAAGCCTCCAAGACGTCCCAGGCCACCTCCAAGAGACCCCCAGGAAGCCCCAAGAGGCCCCCACGAGGCTTCCAAACGGCCCCTAAGAGCTTCCCAAAAAGCCTACAAACTACCCCTAAGAGGCCCCCAAGAGCGCTCGTCGTCGTCGTTGTCGTCGTCACCATTCAGGGTCGGCGGCACCGGCCGTAAGGCCTTCGCAATAATTGGATTCCCGTTGGTTTGGGGTTGTTTCTGTTGGATTCTGCCTTTTCGGCCTGCGGACGCTCCACAACAGCCCCAGAAGGACCGGAGCTCGCCCCAAGACGGTTTCAGAGACCCCCTCCAGGGCGCCACACTGCCCAAGAGGCCCCAAAGACGCCACAGAGACTTCCAGGACAGCCCCAAAAATGCACCGTATCGCTGAAACATCACCGCCAGACGCTCATCACGCCCTCCAGGTGGCCTCACCACTGACGACGACGAAGACGCGCAAAAGAAGCGGGCGAGGGGGGCATGGGATGCAACTGCTACTCGGTAATGGCACGGCGTCGGCATGGCCGTGCTCTCGGGATGTGCTAGACCCAGTCTGGTAAACTATCATACCAATTAGTGGGTTCTCCGTGCGACCACGAGGCCACTTAGGGCCCTCTGAGCGGGCCCCTGGAACCCCTGCCCAGTCATGTGTACTTGGGGTCCTGGTTGTGGGCCCACCAGAGGCCTACTCCGGCATATATATATATATATATGTGTACAAACATACATACATACATACATACATACATACATACATACATACATACATACATACATCCATGCATGCATGCATGCATGCATACATGCATGCATGCATACATGCATGCATACATACATACATACATACATATATACATTCATATATACATACATACATACATACATACATACATGCATACATACATACATACAACCATACATACATACGTACATACATACATACACATACACATACACATACACGTGCACATACACACACACACATACACACACACACACATACACACACACACATACACCTACACATACACTTGCACTTGCACTTGCACTTGCACATACACATGCACATACACATACACATACACATACACATACACATACACGCATACATCCATCCATCCATTCATACATGCATACATACACGCGTGCATACATGCATGCATACATACATATATACATACATGCATACATGCATGCATACAGACATGCATACATACATGCATGCGTGCATGCAAGCATGCATGCATGCATACATACATGCATGCATGCATGCATACAAACATGCATACATACGTACATACACAACATAGCATACAGTACAAATATACATACAGCCATGCATGTAAAAGCACAGATGTATAGATGTATGTACAAACATGTACGTGCGTGTGTAAGTACAAGCATGTGTATGTGTAAGTGTATGAGACTATGTAAATGAATATGTATGTGCGTATGCAAGTGCAAACGCATGTGTCCATGTATGTGATTGTGTATGTGTAGGTGTAGGTGCATATGTATACGTGTATACAATTGTACATGTGTGTAGACATGTGTACAGTGTAAATGTACGTGTGAATGTATATGTACATGTGTATGCATATGTATGTGTAAGTATATGCTATGCGTATGTGTGCCATATATGTGAACGTATGTATGTATAGGAGTGCATGTGTATGTGCATATATACATATATACATACATGAAGATGTGTATGATAGTGCATGTGTGCATGTAAACGTATGTGTAGATGTACATGTAGATGTAGCTGTAGATGTAGATGTAGATGTAGATGTAGATGTAGATGTAGATGTAGATGTAGATGTAGATGTATATGTCGATGTAGATGTAGATGTAGATGTAGATGTAGATGTAGATGTAGATGTAGATGTAGATGTAGATGTAGATGTAGATGTAGATGTAGATGTAGATGTAGATGTAGATGTAGATGTAGATGTAGATGTAGATGTAGATGTAGATGTAGATGTAGATGTAGATGTAGATTGTGAATAGATGCACATGGTGTATACGTATATGTATAAACAAACGAAAACCACGCGCGCGCTTCGCGCGCGCTTTGGCCCACTTCTCTCCCTGACGCTCCAGTCCGTTTTCTTTCAAATCCCCTCAAGGCATCCCTCTTCCCCACTTTACTCCTCATCCCCCCTCTCCTGACCTCCGTTCACCCTCTCCTTCCCCCTTTCCCCTCCCACTCATCCTCCATATCTGGGAAAGGCCAGAGCAGGATCCTGCACCGACACCCCCTAGGGCGCATATAGGTTCACAAACAACACCAGTGGCAAACTAATCCACATCCACCGACACTGTTGTTGTCAAGCAACGGCTGGAGGGAACATACAACCGCCTGTGTGGCTGGAAACATGCTTCGGCACGATCAGCCACGTGAGACGAAGTCGCGCTGGTCGCGAACATACAAGAACTGCGAAAGCCCCCCTCTACGTGGCTGGCAGAATGCTTCGGCACGATCAGCCACGCAAGACAGCTCCGCACTACACAGCATCTCCGCTGGAAGCGCGGGACACAGGGGGGGGGAGCGTGTCGAAGGAGGCATCGGGCGCGGCCAGGTTCTATCGTCACCTCCGAGGAGCCTGTCAAACAAGCGCAGGGTGACCTCTGGCCTCTTGGGCCGTCTCCGTGCTCCTCCAGGGCGCTCTCGAAGCCGTCCCCTGGGCCGTCTCGGCGCCCCCGCCTCGGGCCCCCTCTGAGCCGCCCAGGGCGCCTTTTGGGCGCCGGCCCGTGGCCGTCTCGAGCCCATCCTGGCCAATCTTGGGCCGTCATGAGCCTCTCTCGGGGATGGACAGACCTCCCTTTAGTAAAACGTGGTTTAGTGAAAACGACCTGAGGCCCAAACCTGGCGGGCGCAAGCCTGGAAAATAACGGCCGCGGCGCCCTCTCGAGAACCGAAAACGGACAATTCACTAATCGACGTGTCACTGTTGGGGGTTCTGTCCACCCCCGACTCTCTGGGGACCATGTTGGGGCATCTCGGGGCCCTCTTGGGCCTTCGTTGGTTGTAACTGGACCGTTGTTGGCGCCCCTTTGTAGGGGCCGTCTGGGGGTAATCTGGGGTGCCTCCTGGGCCATTTCGGAGGCTCTGAGGACACAGGAAACGAGCACGCAAAAATCACTGAAAAACACATGGGAAATCCTTGAGTTTCACCTCTCGGAGGCCACGTGGAATTACTCGTGGAGCGCTCTTGTCGGGTCCTGGGCCGCATTGGAGGCGTGTAGAAGCGCTTTGGGCGCCATATTGGGCCGTCTATGCCTAGTTGGTGGTCTCCGGACGCCGTTCGGATGTCGAAACCGTGCCCTTCACCTTGGAAGCCGATCTATAGCCTCCCAGAACTCTGAAAAAGAGCGCTGGACCCCCGGGTGCTCAAGTGTGTGCCTACGGGGGGGCCCATTTGTCACTGTGTGCCCGCGGGGGGAACAGCAAATACCTGCTACAGACATCGGGATACAACCGATGTTTGCCCCTTGGAGCCCTCTTGGGGTGCCTGCCGTCTTGGAGATCGCTTGGGCCGTTTGGGGAGCCTCTTGGCCCGTCCGGGCTCCCACTTTTTTGTTGTTGTTGTTGCTGTTCTGCGCTTACCTCTAGAAAGCGGGCGGGTATTGTGACTGAAGCTCGCGTTGGCCTGAACTCACACGCTGGGGAAAGCATCGGTTCGCGCCAAGACTGCTGACGCCGCCACTCAATAACCGAAAGTCTGGTAGAAGTCTGATGGAAGATATTGCTGCGCGAAGCCAAGCACCATTGTAGAGAAGTCTATGGATTCAACACGGTGGGCCCTGTAGTCTGGCCATGTGATCGAGCACCTCCAAAGAAATTGTGGCGAGCTCCCGTCGGCAAGATCCTTCTTGTATCTGCATGTATTATTGGCGTACATGTGACGCAACTGGCCTAAAATGGTAGCCGTGCTCGCAGGGTCCGCGTTGAGGAAGCCTGCCATGATTGGTGCCGAAAATGTGAGATTCGCGTTATTCGATATGCTGTTTGCTTCGTACTTGGGACCAGGTGCTATACCAGCTCCCAACCCCCAAACTTTGCCGTGCAAGCTGTCGGACGACGGTATTGCAAGCTCCCAATATTTCATGTCTGCTCCCATGGCAGCCTTGAATTTCTCGAGATAGTACGTGCTCTGACCGAACGCTGCGGTCAAGAAATAATTGAACTGCACGTGGAATGAGGGGATGAAGCCGTCTGAATCCGACAACACCTCAAATCCATGATACTGGTTGAGCTTGGGGAACTCACCGTCTCCTGGTGGAGATGAGTTGGTACCGAAGAACACTTCGAAGTACCGCGCTGCCAGCGCAAGACTTGTATTTGTAGCATTTGGGTGTTGCAACTCGGCCTTCGTCGCCAGATATGCCAGGAGGTAGTACTCATTAAAAGGCTTCAGGATGCCATCCTGCATTTCACCGCTCTCGCTCGCCGTCAAATACATGATGGACTCGAGACACGCGTCGCACGGCGGCTCGGAGCATGTAGTCGGAAAGTCCAAACCTAGGTCGTTGCAATCGTAAGCGTTCAAGTTCAAGCATTTGTACATGCGCTGGAAGTCCTCGTAGGTCCCTTGCGAAAGGTCGACGCCTGAAATTAAATACATTTTCTTTGCAAACGCCGTCTGGTACCACGCCTCGTTCTTCCCAGCACTGTGGCCCCAAGCGATATGGCGTGCGCAGGCGCTGGGAACTGTGCCTTGAGCGGTCGCAGCAGGAGGTTCGGTGCCTTTAATACCAGCTGTCCATTTCGTCAACCTTACCAGCTCCAAGGCGTTCGTCTTGACTTGGCCTTGGAAAAACTTCCCTGCGAACAACGCACCCAATGCACCGATTGCGGTATCAATCGTGGAATACTCGGCCATGGGTTGAAAGGCTCGGGTTGTAAAATGCTGGAAGAAGCCCTTGCCATTTTCTCTGGGCCAGTTACTTTTGACCGAAGATATCGTCTGCAACACGCGTGCCTCCGCAGCAGGCTTCGTTTGCAGGCCAAGCTCAGCAAAGACGCACTCGGCAACAAGCCCCATGCCGACGGATGCGAGGCTGTAGAAATCATTGGCGGGCCCACAGACCGTCGTGCCGTCCAAATAGATCGCATCACAATACAGTCCGTTGTCCGGATCTCGGAAGGTGCTCCAGAACACATACAGGTCGACCATCTGCGTGTCTGCGGATGGGGTCAACTTTGCTCGCGCCGATGCCTCCTCCGATGCCCGCGCCAGCTTCGCGGACTTCACGCGGGCGCCGAGGGCCCCGGGCGCGGAGAGGCACACTGCCAGGAGGCACGCCAGGCGGGGCGCGGGCTGCTTCATTCTTCGGCGGAGGGCGGTCCGTGGACGCCTTGTTGTCAAGAGCGCTGCGGCGTGGTCTGGAGCCAGAAGAGGCTATGGCTGCAGGGCGATTCTCGGGGCCTCGGACGTGGTCCTCGAGCGCTGGGTCGCGGAACGAATCATAAACACACACACACACACAAACAAACAAACAAACAAAAAACAACAACAAACAAAAAAAAAAAAACACGCCCCAAACCAGTGGAAAACAAATGATTGTTGCATCTTGGGGTCCTCTGGGCGTGCCCCTTGGAACCCTCTCGGAGCGCCTTGGTGGCGTTTTTTGGACCGCCTGCGGGCTCTCGTGGAGCGTCTTGGTGGCGCTTGGGGCCTCCTGGAAGCCATCGCGAGCGTCGGGGACAGATTTAGATTTTGCTGCGACTCGGGCCCTCGGGAGCGGCCAATAGGGGGGTGTCCAAGAGAGGGGGGGTGCAAATCATGCAGGCGGCACGTGCGCGGCCCAGCGGGGGGCCAGGGACGTAACGAAATAAGAAGAGGCGCCATGAAATCTGGGGAAATATCATGACCCCCGCCATGATATCCACCCCCCCTTGTCATCACCCCCCTTCTTTTCCGCCCCCAGGGCCCGCGTGGGCCGTCTGGGGGGCACCTCCGGGGGACGTGCCGGCCTTGCAGGATGGGCCCGGGCCCTCGGCACCACCGTGCGCTGTCGGGCCCTCGGACTCCCGGCCGTCCTGAGAGCTCTTCGGCCGTCTGGGACGGTGTGAAAGCCCAAGGGTGAAGTCGGGCGTGTCCCCCTGCAGGGGGGTTTTGGACGAAAAACAACAAAAAAAATACCCCAAAAATGGTCACAAGATGCCCAAAAATACTCAGAAAATAGTCCCCAGACGACTTTTCTACTATTTCTGAATATTCCCCCTGTAGAGGAACGGGCCCGACTTAACCCAAGGGGCGAACATGCCATGGATATTCGCTTTCCTGCGGGAACGGGACGGATCTTGCTTCTCGTGGCCCTCAGGGGAGGCGAAGCGCGGGGAACGGGGCCCGCCCCGCAGAGCCACTCGGCAGGCTGGGAGCCCCTTGAAAAAGCAGGTCTGAAGCCCCTCGGGGCCTCTTTTGGGAGCCTTCTTGGGGCCTCTTTCTGGGCCTCCTGGGGGCCTCTTGGGGGCCTCTCGGCGGCCTCGGGGGTCATCCTTAAGGTGGAGGGCTGGAAATCTCGGCCCAGGTGCCCCGTCGTGGGCCTATCTTGGGGCTCTCCCGGGGCCCTCCTCGGCTGTCTTGGAGACCTCCTGGGCCGTCTTGGGGCCATCTTGGGCTGTCTTTGGCCGTCTTGGGAGCCTCCTTGGGGTCCTCTTGGGCCGTCCCGTGGCGACTTTGGGGGTAACTTGCGCCGCCTTCGACGCGACGAAGACAAAAAAAGTGAATGTAGTGAAATTGCGCTTTTCCCCTGAAGCATTCGACGATTTCTGGCCTCGCGAGGCTGTCTCGAGGAGCCTCCTGGGGCTCCTGGGGCCTCTCGTGGGCCGTAGGGACGTCACGTGCGGCCGTCTTGGAGCGCTCATGGGGCAGGCTGGGAGCGTCTTGGGAGGTTCCTGGGTGCCCAGAGGCTATCTTGGACGCTGTGGGAGCGATCTTGAGCCGTCTCGGAGCCTCGGGGGGCGGCCCGGAGAGCGCCCCGGGCCGGGGGGGCACGGTCGTACAAGGGAGGGGGCCAGGGCCACTGAAGGGACCTGGTTCCGGGATCTCCCAAATTCCCCAATCAGAGCTCACCTCTGTAGAGGTCCTAGCGGATTCAAATGGTTACGTAAACTGCGTCGCCGATTTCGGCGGCACGCCCGGGTGCCCCGGTGCCCGGGTGCCCGGGAGCTGCGTCGCTTTCGGCGGCCCGCCAAATTGCCCGGGTGCCTGGGTGCCCGGGTGCCTGGGTGCCCAGGTGCCCGATTGGCCTATAGCCCTATAGCCCTATAGCCCAATAGCCATATAGCCCTATAGCCCCATAGCCCTACAGCCCTGTGGCACTATAGCCCTATAGCCCTATAGCCCCACAGCCCTACAGCCCTATAGCCCTATAGCCCTATAGCCCTATAGCCCTATAGCCCTATAGCCCTATAGCCCTATAGCCCTATAGACCTATAGCCCAATAGCCCTATAGCGCGATAGTCATATAGCCCTGTAGCCCTATAGCCCTATAGACCTATAGCCATATAGCCCTATAGCCCAATAGCCCTATAGTCCTGTAGCCCTATAGCGCGATAGACATATAGCCCTGTAGCCCTATAGCCCGATAGCCCAATAGCCCTATAGCCATATAGCCCTGTAGCCCTCTAGCCCTACAGCCCTATAGCCCTATAGCCCCATAGCACTATAGCCCTATAGCCCTATAGCCCTGTAGCCCTATAGCCCTATAGCCCTATAGCCCTATTGCCCTTTAGCCCTATAGCCCTATAGCGCTACAGCCCTATAGACCCATAGCCATATAGCCCTATAGCCCTGTAGCCCGATAGCCGTATAGCCCACTGGCCCTGTAGCCATATAGCCGAATAGACCGAAAGCCAAATAGCCCTGTAGCCCAATAGCCCTATAGCCCTATAGCCCCATAGCCCTATATCCCCATAGCCCTATGGCCCCAAAAAGACTATGAGTGGGGCTTTTCTCTGGTATCACATGTTCCCCAATCAGAGCTTGCCTCTGTAGGGGTCCTATAGCGGATTCATATGGTTAGGTTAGGTTTGCCGCCGATTTTCGGCGCACGCCCGGGTGCCCGGGTGCCCGGGGGTGCCCGGATGCCCGGGTGCCCGGGTGCCCAAGTGTCCGGGCGTGCCCGGGGGTGCCCGGGTGCCCAGGGGTGCCCTATAGCCCTATAGCCCTACAGCCCAATAGCCGTGTAGCCCTATAGCCCTACAGCTCTATAGCTCTATAGCTCTATAGCCCTATAGCCTATAGCTAAATCGCCCTATAGCCGTATAGCCCTATAGCCCTACAGCTCTATAGACCCTATAGCCCTATAGCCCATATAGCCCTGTAGCCCTGTAGCTTTATTACCCTATAGCCCAATAGCCCTATAGCCCATATAGCCCTATAGCCCTACAGTCCTAAAAAGATTACTCCCCAATCAGGGCTTGCCTCTGTAGGGGTCCTAGCGGAATCATATGGTTAGGTCAGCTCCGCCGCCGAGTTTAGCGGCCCGCCCGGGTGCCCGCGTGCCTGGGTGCCCAGAAGCTGCCTCGCCGATTTCGGCGACCCGCCCGGGTACCCATGCAGCCCTATAGCCCTATAGCCCTATAGCCCTATAGCCCCATAACCCTATAGCCCTGTAGCCCTATAGCCCTATAGCCCTATAGCCCTATAGCCCTCTAGCCCTCTAGCCCTCTAGCCCTCTAGCCCTCTAGCCCTCGAGCCCTCGAGCCCTAAACCCCCAAGCCCTATACCCCCAGACCTGTAGCCCAACAACCCAATGGCACTGTAGCCCTGTAGCCCTCTTGCCCTATAGCCCCATAGCCCTATAGCCTCTCAGGCCCAAAAAAAAATAATCGGGAATATATCCGGTATCATGTGCTTGTATGCGTGTACGTGTGTGTGCATGTATGTATGTGTATGCACGCATTCACTTGTGTAAATGTGCACATGCGTATATATATATATAGATATATGCAAATGAGTGTGTAAATATGTGTATGCGTATGTGTATGATTACACATGTACATGTGACTGTATGTGCAAATGTATGTGAATATACACATGGATATGTGTATGTGTACGTGTATGTGTACGGACATCTATATATACACATGTACGTATATGTATGCGCGTGTATATGTATATGTATGTCTCTGTGTAGATGTAGATGTATATGTTTGCGGAGGCGTATGTACGTGTATATGTGAATGTCTATGTACTTGCATGTATATATGTATGTGTACATGTATATGTCTATGAGTTAGACGTAGTGTATGTGCATATGTATGAGTGTACGTACATGGCAAGGCACATGTCGATATATGTTATGTGTACGTGTGTATGCAGGTGTAAACCTGTATGACGAAGTATGTGGTACGCCTATGTAGATGGAGATGTATATGTATACGCACATGCAGATGTGTATGGATGTGTATGTGTACATGTACATGTATGTGTATGCGTAAAGGTATGTATATGTATAGGCCTGTACGATGCATGTGTATACGTATGTTGCTATACGTATGTTGCTATGCATGTGTAGACGTATGTATATATATGTGTATATGCATACGTGTGTGAATACGTACATGTATATCAATATGAATAGCCAGCAGCTTGTATATGTATATGTATATGGAATTGTAGATGCATGGATGTGCAAAATGAGCATGAATGTGCATGTACATATGTAAACGTGTTTGCAAGTGTGTAAACGTATATGTATATTTGTATATGCACATGTCAATGTATATGCATATGTGTGTACATGTGTCTGTACACTAGAACCATCGCGCGCGCTTCGTGCGCGCTCAAGTTCTAGCTAGGCTTGATAGGCTAACTCATGTAATATCCTGTTGGTCGCTGCTTGCATCCAGGGACTGCCTTGGAGGCCCTGCCCAAGCCTCGGAATCGTATAGAAGGAGGAGTGCGGAAACGCAGAAAGCATTAATTTGCTTGAGGGATTCAACGATTTGGGGCCCTGGAGGCTTCCTGCGTTCTTTGTTGGGAGGTGAGGGGGGTCTGAATTGTAGTCTGTTGTGCAAGAGTAGACCGGGGGCCAAACTGGAAAAAAAAAGAATTGTGGGATTTCCATGCTTTTCCAGTTCCTCGGCGCTGTTCAGCGCTGTTTTCTGTTTGTGCCTCGCGGGTTTTGCTAGCCGGGTCCCTCCAGGGTGTGGGATCTTCCAGACCCCCTGGAGCTTCTGGAGGCCTCCTGGAGGCCTGGAGAGCCGCCGGAAAGGTGTCTCGGGCTGCGCGGGAGCGTGTTGGGCCGTTCTTTACGTTCTGGGGGCTCCTTGAGGTCGTCATGGGCTGTCCTTCGTCGTCTTGGGGTCTCCCCCCGGGAAGCCGGAAGGCGACGTACCGGCCAGATGTCAGGGGATGTGTGGGACCCCCGAGTAGGAGTCCCACTTTGAAAAAAAAG